ATAGAGGTTTTACTGTAGTTGGCATTCATTAGGGGTGGAAAAAAAACTGAATCGAGCCGAACCCCAAGCCAAACCATTTGGTAAAATATTATCTCAAATCGAATAGTTTAGTTCGGTTGAAAACTCTTGCAGTTTGGATTGTTAGGTTTGAGTAAAACTTACGCACCATCACATAGTAAATAAAATATGATATTTTGGTTTCTATTGTAAATTTAAGATTGTGAAATATATAGTCAGATATTGCCAACGAAAGGATTGTCAAAATTTCCAAAATTGAAATTACGTGTCATTAACCGATAATCCTGTTTAACTTAATCGCACTTATAATAATCCGATTTTAATTAAAACTCGTATTTGAACCATATTTAAAACTTTCTTTTCACAAAGAGAGTTACAATATATGTTATATTAAATGTGATTATGAACCGAGTTAATTTAAACACAATTTCCGGTTAATTAAACGAAATCATGATTTAACTGAATTTCAAAAAACTTGAAGAGTTTAAATAGTTTAGTGGAAAATATGAAGATATGTGTTTTCTAAAAGGATATAATAGAGAGGTCAAAAGCATGAGAAGCAGAATGAAAAAAGTTGAAGGAGGTCAACCCTCAACAACGAAAATGTAATTTAGTCATTTACTTTTAAGTTGTAATATATAATTATCATGATGTCTGCATTTTGAACACGTGTTTGACATGGAAAAGGTGGTTTTGTCAGTTCATTTAATTATAGCATTAAGTCAAACCACTCCTTCGGGTTTATGTTAGCATTGGTAAGTCATTAAACCTATTTCGAATGAACTTACCATAGTTTAGAACGACTAAATCTTTAATATACTTTCCGTATTTCAACACTACATGAAAAGATTTTTTGGTTTCATGCTCAAATCTATTTTTTTTTATCTTTCGTTGTATGGATTCATTTTAATCATCAGATATACTCGAGCTGATGTTCAAATGGATTTCTCGTTGCATCCGAACAATGAAAATCTCGTCATAAGTAACAACCAACCATTTCTTAGTGATGATGATGTATCTAATTTTCAGAATGGATATCTTAATTCATTCGATGATGCTTCTCTCAATGGATTGTATCATCCACCGATTCCAGCCGCTTTCTCTCATCACCATCACCAAAATTTGATATCTTCGATCCCATACCATTACTATAGTTCTTTGAATTTGAACGTAGAAACTACTCAAGTTCCTCCAAATTACGAAGCTCCCACAACCAACATACCCTCAACATATCCACTTATGGATATCAATTCTTTCAAAGAAATCCAACAAAATGTTTTGACTTATAACACCCCGAACCCTAAAATATTTGAGAATATATCTTATAATTTTTATGATGTTCAGGAGAATATTGTGCGGGATGAGATTGTACACGACCATGGGTTTATCACTGGTGGTGGAGAGACAAATCTCGATCAGAAGGCTCAATCTCAACCATTTGATTTTGCTGGACCAAATAATATCAGCGGCACAAACAAAAAATTCACTAATCAGTCTCAAGATCAAGTGGTGAAAAACATACCTTCTAAGAAAGCTAACATCATCAAATGGAAATGGACAAGAACAGAAGATAAGCAAGTTTTTTTTTTATCTTTTAATCATAAAAGTAAAAATTCAATTCATTCTCGATATTCTCATATATTGTTGGTATGGTTTTTTAATTTTTGGAAATTTTATAAATGTATAGGATACTAAAGCGAATGGTGGAACTTTATGGAACAAAAAAATGGTCAAAGATTTCAAAGATGTTTGAAGGGCGACATGGAAAACAATGTAGAGAAAGGTGGCAGAACCATCTTCGCCCTGATATCAAGGTGATATCTTTCAGTCTTTCATCTTTTTTTAATGTGTTTTATGTGCATGGTTATATGCATAATCATGACTCATATATATTTATATATGTAAAGCTAGATCGCATACATTTATATATGCTCATATACACATGTTCATGCTTTTTTTTAATAATAAATACTTGTTACGTTGACTTATTAGTCATAATAATTTTTAATTTTATATTATATATATCTATGCATATATATATATCTTGAAGTAATTTCAATTGCAAAAAAAAGTTCATAGTAATTAAAATATACTTGTCCGTTGTCCGTTATCAAATTATACTTGTTTTGCATATAACTATCTCGTTGTTTTTAATTCAAATCATTTTAAAAAGCAACTAATAGTTTTCTTAATATATTCTTCTAGATATTAACATCAATAGACTCTTATAAACATAGGTATACAACATTATGAAAATAAATAATATATTTACATACATTCATTAATATATGATTTCAGAAAGATAATTGGAGTGAAGAAGAAGATCAAATGTTGATTGAAGCTCACAAGATCGTTGGCAACAAATGGACAGAAATAGCTGAGAGACTTCCTGGACGAAGCGAAAACACAATTAAAAATCACTGGAACGCCACAAAACGTCGAGTAGAATCGATGAAAACTAAGCAAAGTGATGAAAATGGTCATTTGCTCCACAACAACACTCTCGAAAATTATATAAGGTACAACACTACAACTATGATCCTTTGAAAATTATTAAAAATGATGACAACAACCATGAATACAGTTTTGATGGAGAGTTAAATATGAATCTGAATAATAGGGTGAAAACCGATGCCCCTTTGGATGATGAATCTACAACATCAGTTTATGTACCGGTTCCAGCATCAACTACTTGTGAGGATGATTTCGAAGAGCTTTTGGACCAATTGATGACAAATCTATAATGGACCACACATGACTATGATTTATGGGTATTATCTCGGGTGACATGGTCATCTCATGCTTAATTATATTATGTTATGTAATGTTTTGAACGAGAGATCAACTCTTTTCTTCGATTTTTTTATTAAGAACTTTTATAATATAATGATA